TATTTTGAGAGAGAGAGAACGAGCGAGCACAAGCAGGGGAGGGGCGGAGAGAGAGAGAGAGAGAGAGAGAGAATCCCAAGCAGCCCCTGAGCCGGCAGCACAGAGCCTGACTCGGGGCTGAATCTCACCAACCCTGAGACCACGACCTGAGCCGAAACCAAGAGTCGGATGCTTAACCGGCTGAGCCACCCAGGCGCCCCTCAATGAAGCTATTTATAAGACAATTGCATATTTATATGATGGAACAGTCTTCAAAAATTAAAATTAATGAAGTAGGGTGATATGTATTCATATGGACAAATCACAAAAATATAAACAAGATTTACAGTACTTTTGTACGGAATGAGAATTGTTATATAACATTGGATAAACTGCAAAAAAAAAAAAAAAAATCCCATACAGTGTTTGGGCACGTTGTACATGCTTGGGAGTCACCCACCCTGACTTCAAAAAAGGTGTTTTCCTCTCAAGAAGGACTTGAGTGAAATTAGGGAGGGACATACAGGGCTTCAATGCTATCGATAATATTTTACTTCCTTTTGAAAAATCTTACGCTAATATGATGAAAATATCGAGATTTGGTAAAGCTTAGGTACTGTGGATAGGAAATTTGCCCCTATTCCTTGAAAAATTGTGCGTGTGGAATTTCTCCCTTTTTTAAAAAAGTGCCCAGGGACATTATCTCAGAAGCTGTGTTAGAAAGCACACAGTACTTGGGAAAGATGAGGCCCAGTTTGGCTTTCTCTTGAGTGACTGCTTTGGCATATCGCCAAGGAATAGTTGATCCCCAAACTCGGAATTCACAGTGACTGGGTCCCTGGCCAGGGTGTGTTGGTGTAAGGGATACATTTTGAGGAAAAGAGGAACATGGGTACCTACACCCTTTAAATCTGAGGTGCTGGGCAGGGAGGGCGAGCGTGCCTGAGGACCCTGAACGCAGAGAAGGGACTGGGGGGGCCCTCTGAGCGGCACTTGGAAGTGGGGAGCTGGAGGAAGCGCCAGCAGGATTTGGGGGATCGTGGTGGTGAATTTCATCCACCTCGCGCCTTTGCCACCATGTGTCTCTGGTGCCGACACAGACCATTGCTCTCAGACCATTGTGCGTTCTTTGAAATACATAGCTTGGCAGCCTTTGTACTTGGACGGACTGGAGAGTCTCAAGCCATGAGACTCCCTGGGAAAGAATTGTCTTATCTCTTCAGTAGTGGGAGATAAATTTCATGTCAACACACGAAAAGCTGGCACCAGCCTCCAGACGAAGCAAATCATGTGCGTTATGTTCAGGCACGGGTCGATGGTAAAAAGCTGTAGCCGCAGAGAAAAAGGGTCCCTCGTCCTCACTGCTTTTGTGTACTCTAAATCTCCAAAATTTAAGATAATTAATCGGACTACACGTTCGGGCTTTTCTTCAGCCTGATTGAAATGCCAAGGACCGGCTTCCTTGGCCACTCAGGTATTTGTGATGACTGAGGATCAGTTGCTAGGACATAACAATGTTGGGGTGGAATCCTGCAATATACATAAAAGCACATGTATTAAAAGCATTTAAAATGCATTTCAAGAAAAACAAAGGGCTACTTTTCAAAGCATGCGTAAGGTATAATAAACAGCCAGTAAATCGCCATACCGAAGCCGGTGTCCCCAGTCAAAGGAGATCCACCAGGTGGGATATTTCCATGATGAGTATGGAATGAATTCCTGAAATTACAGGGTGCAATCAACACTTCCCAAAGGAAAAAACAGCAGGGCCGACTCGGAAAAATTTCCCCTGTGGCAGTAACACATAATATAAAGGATCTTCTTATGTGTCAGGATCTAGTGTTTCTTTCCAAAAATCAAATTTTATTCATCTTGTCAGATTTTTAAAATAATACATGAAGTGTTTTCTAATGAAGAAATTAGTATTTTGCCAAACGCTCCGTGTCTGATCCCGAAGGGCTGTATACCAAGTAGGGTAGTGTTTCCCAGAGTGTGGGTCCGATCAAGGCCATCTGATCAGAATCGTTTCAGTTAGCAAACTTTTTTTGTAAAGGGCCAAATAATAACTATTTTTGATTCTGCCAGACAGTTTCTCTTGCAGAAGCTCACCTCTGCCCAGTGTTGTAGTGTGAAGGCAGCCACAGGCGAGTCCTAAATGAATGAATGTGGTAGTGTGCCAATAAAACTTTATTTACACAGACAGGTGTGTGCGGAGTATGGCTCACAGACCATAGCTTATGAACACCTAACTTAGAGCGGTATTTTTACCTCTTCTTTTTTTAACTGGAACTCACAGTAAGAAATACATAGGACATCAAATCCGGCTTGTGTGCATGTGCACATGCGCGCGCATACACACACACACACACACACACACACACACACACACACACACACACAGTTTTGCAAAACCTAATTTGCCCTTTGTACCAGAAATACACTCTACTTTCTTTCCTCCTCCCCTCTTCTATTTAATGTTTTATTTTTTTAAATTTGTTTATTCTGAGAGAAAGGGAGAGGGAGCAAGCGCACAAGCAGGGGAGGGGCAGACAGAAGGAGAGACAGAATCCCAAGACAGCTCTGTGCCACCGGCACAGAGCCGATACGGGGCTCGAACTCACGAACCGTGAGATCATGACCTGGGTCAAGATGAGGAGTCGGGCACAACCGACGGCGCCACCCAGGCGCCCGTCTTCTACTTCGTGTTTTCAGGGCTAGTTTTCATCATACCTGTACCTCATTGCCTGTTGAGATGCAGAATCCCGCTGCTCTGCCCGTGACAGCTTTTTACCTAGGATATTGAGACGTGAGCCCAAACGTCTGTAGTCCTCTTTGTAAAAGATCCCCAGCAGCTTCTTATGCACACCATTTTGAAAAGCTCTGATCCGGTGTGTCAGATGGAATTGTACACTTGAGTTAAAATTACAATTATTCCAACAATTGTTTTCTGTGAAGCATTCCTATGTGTTCAAAGGAGGCTCTCATTTTGGGCTGTTTCAACTTACGCATGACTGAAGAGGTTTTTTTCCCTTCTCCTCTTTTTAAAAAAAATTTTTTAGTGTTTATTTATTTTTAAGAGAGAGAGAGAGACAGAGTGCAAGCAGGGGAGGGGCAGAGAGAGAGAGAGGGAGACACAGAATCCGAAGCAGGCTCCAGGCTCCGAGCCGTCAGCAGAGAGCCCGGCGCGGGGCTCGAACCCACGAGCCTTGAGATCATGACCTGAGCCGAAGTCGGACACTTAACCGACTGAGCCACCCAGGCGCCCCTCCCTTCTCCTCTTAATGTCACTTTTAATTTCCAATATCATGATAGAAGAAAAGAAAGAAGAGAATAGAGTTCAAGCATTGTTAGATGTGTAGTCATGGGATTACTGACCGGCGTACTGAAAGGATAAGTGATTGACACGAAGTTATTCCAAGGGAATATTGCGACCTTACGTGTCTTTTGTTAGAATCGTATTAAACATCTTTAATTCTGTTGTGTGATTCCAAATATTCCATTCACTTGGTTTGTTCGAGGGACTCTTCAGTTATTTTGCTTCCTCTGGATGTATTCACGTTAGAAGCTAAATTCGGTTTGGTGCCAACTAAGCGTCACTTCGTTCAACTCACGACCACGGTTAATCCGCTGCGGAGGGTCACTAGAATTCTAATGAGTGAAGCCTTTTGCCAGGCTTCGTATCATATACCGTTTGCTCCAAGGTTTTGACACTTCATTCTCTAACTCTCCTTTCAGGAATTTTTCGCACTCTTGCCTGAAATTTTGTGGCCGCGGTCTCTCAGCGCAGCACATTCATTTCCTTTGTTTGCTGCAACTACGACATAGCTGGAATCAGATGTTCCTTAGAGGCCTCGAGTTCTGACATCTCCTTCCTTCCTTTTCTCCGATTAAAGTTGCATGGGAATGGTAATGATGACTTGGAGAAAGAAGGAATTTCTTGGAGTTAGCAGGAATTCTGGAGGGAGCTGGAGCCAGCCCTGTCTGTAAGACAGATTAACTGGCCTCCTCCCTACCCTTTCACCCAGGGCTGGTTTCCATTCCGGAACAATCATAAAGCCGGCCAAGACCCGTCCCGAGCTGTGTGGAGAGGGCACCGGGCGCTCGGCAATTCTAATTAGCAATCTAATTTTAACTTGGCTTCTGGCCCGAGGGCTTCATCTTGTAGCACATTTCAAACACCAGAGCGCATGGTCAAGTGGGTTACCGTGCACTTATCTTGGCCTACCCCAGAGGTTACGGTCAATTACGTTTGAGGGTCGTTTTCAAGCAAGACAGGATCAGGAATCGGAATGGAGGTTGGAACCAAACATGCATTTTTATCCCGACTGGGAAACGCTTATCAAAATAGTTCTTAGTTATCAAGTAAGCACAAAGTGCCTGGAAATGACGTTCCCAGTGAGGGGAAACGGCCCAGCTGTGCTTTTTTTGGCCTTCTCTCATCTGCTCAACAGGAAAAATATTAATCAATGGAAAAAACGCTCTCTTTCTGTGAATTTAACACATGAGTTTTAGATCGCGTGGGAAATAGTAATACCTCATGTTTTCACATCACAATTTTATTACATGGATTGCAAAGAACTTTTTAGAAAATGGTTCTTAGTGAAGCCACACGTTTGCACCTATGGAGATGTTTTATTTGCTTGATGGCCCAGCTGCAAACCTGAGATAAGAGAAAGTTCCAGCATTCCCTGTGATCTTTCAGTAATTGAGTGGGATAGTGGGGGAAGAGGTCTGGTGACCCTTGTAACTTACCATGGGGCAACACCTTGTTTCCCCATCAACAAGGAAGTAATTCGCCATTCAGTATTTTCCCATAAAACAAATTAGCAACGCTTCTCCAAGGAGACAAAGGCTGTCTAAGCCAGGAGTCCCGTATCGGAGATTTCCATATGTCTCTGCCTGCTTGTCGGACTTTTATTGAAGGACAACTTACGTGCAACAGAACGCACGCATCAGAAGGGTCCAGCCCGATGTGTTTTCCCTAAGCGAGCCCACCCGTGTAACCATCTCCTCTTTTCAAGGTGATGAGGCTCCGCAAACTGGCTCAGCAGATTGCAAACTGCAAGCAGTGCATTGAGCGGTCGGCATCACTTATCTCCCAAGCGGAACACTCTCTGAAGGAGAACGATCATGCGCGCTTCCTACAGACGGCGAAGAACATCACTGAGAGGTGAGTGCGGGGGCTGCTGGGAAGTTCTCAGCCGCTGGGCTCCTGTGTCTGGGGAGCGATTGGTTGGCCTTGCCCTCCCCTTGCTTTTGTTTTCATTTTCAAGGCTGAGTACCAGGGAGAATAGGGGCTTTGAGCAGCTTTGTTCCAGCTAAAGATGCTTCCCTTTGACATGTCAAAGCCTTTTCAGCAGCGCCCTGGAGTTCAAGGCCTTTGAAACAAGAGTCCACCAGCTAGAAAGAATAAAATCAGCCTTGCTTTTTGGGGGGAGAAAGCTTACGGTGGCACAAAACCAGCATTTATTGTGACTCTCAGACCTGATCTTATCGTATGCTTGATAACAAAGAATCAGAATGAAGGCAAAGACATAAAAGGGAATCTTTTCTTCCATCTCAGGGCTCATCTATTTGGAAAAAAAAAAAAAAAAAGAGCAAACTCCCAGCTGTTGTTTTCCATTAGACCTGTTTTTATTTGGTCGAGAAGCTTCGCCTCTTCTGAAAGGTCAAAGCTGACTCATGTGAGAGACAGCGGACCCACCTGTCCATCTCCTACCTCTTGCTTTGAAATGTGTGGCTTATTCTAGGGCAGGGAACATGGAGATAACATTATTTGAATGGACGGTTCAGCAGTAGAACTGGTGGGAGTCTGTACTCCCTTGGTCCGGGTACTTGATCGGTACAGAATCACTTGTTCTCCCTGATGCAAAAACCTACAGCAGCTCTCATGGAGCCACAAAAAGCACCTGACTCCACCTAAATGATATCTCCAAGCCTTGCCAATGCCCTTGACTTCTCATTCATTCTGCTTCTCAGAGTCACTTGCCCCTTATCCAGAGCAATAATAGAATCCAATCACCGGACAACCCCAGGCAGCTCATTCATGCTGGTCTTTATCCTAGAGCAGGAGTCTGCCAACTCCTATAAAGGACCAGAGAGTAAATATTTTCAGCTTTGCAACTTATGAGGTCTCCTTGGAAGCTACTCAACCCGGCCGTGATAGCTCTCTATCAGCCTCGCTTAGACAGTACAGAAACACTGTCTAAAGGGTGTTTCTAAAAACATTTCGCAAAACAGGTATTTGGCCCTCTGGCTGTATTTTGCCAACCCCTGGCCCAGGGGGGGAAATACCATCCTATGACTTGAATTTCTTCAAGGAAAGAGAAAGAAAGCCAACATTAGTTGAGTGCTTGCTTGTGGCGGCCACCATGCTAATTCTCAAAATGTCGCGTACGGGTAGGCATTGATATTTCCATTTCCGCTGTTCTTTTCAATTAGAGTAACGTACAGTAGTAGCTTTACAACTCTGGTCTCGTATTGAACCTGCCTCGCCGTGTTGTTATAGTTGAGAAAAATTTCTTCCGCAATTGGTTCCGATACCTGATCTCTTCCAAAGCACGTGGATAACAGCTGGTTATATCCTTAAAATGATCACCTCCCTACTCTTAAGAGAAGCCAGTTTCTTTCCTCGTGTCTCCTAGGTTCCAAGCGTTTAATTGTCTTCCCAGCTCTCATCTGGACTGTATCCAATTGTTTTATATGCATCCTAAAGTTAGAAAGTGCAAATACCACTAATAACTCCGGTGTGCCTCGGGCAGTCTACTAGACAGTGTTTGCACTTATGTCATGATTGCCAACTGGGACCCAAGTACTTTTCTCCAGCCTTAAATCACGAGATGGCCAGATGAAATGGCTACCGTGAAGTGCATTTCTCAGCAATCCCTAAAAATTTGATCACGTGCAATATGAAGAAATTCTCAAGGGCAGAGAATGTGGCCCCATACCAGTTAAGACAGAACATTCTGGGGGTACCTGGGTGGCTCAGCCGGTTGAGCGTCCAGCTTCGACTCGGGTCATGGTCTCGTGGTTCATGAGTTCGAGCCCCACATCGGGCTCACTGCTGTCAGCTTGTTTGCGTGGAGCCCACTTCAGATCCTCTGTCTTCCTCTCTCTGCCTCTCCCCTGCTTGTGCTCTTCCAAAAATAAATATTAAAAAAAAAAAAGAACATTCTGGAAGAAGACCTACCTATCTTTGAAGTGTAACATAAGCACATGAATGTCCACACGTGATCTCCCGCAGATCCAGCAGGGTGTAACTGGTCCCATTCACCTCCACCCGTAACAAGCCCATCTCGTCAAGAACAGAAACATGACTTTGAGTTTTCTTTCTACAAATGAATTGTATAATACCGTTGACCCGCAAACAGCATGGGTTTGAATTGCACAGGTACACTTATACAAAGATTTTTAAAAATAAATACAGTACAGTGCTGTAAATGTACTTTCTCTCATGATTTTCTTAATAATATTTTCTATAATAATATTTCTTAATATTTCTAATAATAGTTTCTTCTCTCTAGCTTACTGTATTGTAAGAATGCAGAATATAATGCATATGACATACAAAAAAATGTGTTAATCGACTATTTATGTTACCGGTAAGGCTTCTGGTCAACAGTAGGCTATTAGTAGTTATGTTTGGGGGGGGGGGGATGAAAAGTTATACATGGATTTTCAACTGGGTGGGGGTCAGCACCCCTAACCACCCCCCCCATTGTTCAAAGGTCAACTGTATACTATATTCTCAAGCATCACTAATACATAGTTCTCGCTGTGATTGTATGTGCGCTTTTATAAAATTATTATTTTTTTTAAGTTTATTTATTTTGAGAGGGTGGGGGGGAATGCAACAGGGTGAGCTGGGGAGGGGCAGAAAGAGAGAGGGAGAGACAGAATGCCAAACAGGCTCTGTCTGTCAGCACAGAGCTTGATGCGGGGCTCGATCTCACGAACGGTGAGATCCTGACCTAAGCCGAAATGAAGACTTTGATTCTTAACCGACTGAGCCACCCAAGCACTCCTAAAATTATTGTAAATAAGCAAAATTATGCACTAAGTCCAGACATAAGAAAGTCGGCCGCCTGTTTATGAGAAGGCTAAACTTCCATCAAAGTTTAAAGACATAGTACCTATAAAAATTTGCCAACATCCTTCATCCCCACCCCCCACCCCCCCGTTTCTGCAGCCCCTCTCTTCTGTCTTCATTTGTCAATCTTCTTGGTCACTTCCCGAGCCTTTCTCTTTCTAGGACTGGAACGCACTTTTTAACTGCGATCCTTTGGGGTTTATCCGTGAGGTATTTTCTGCTAAGAGGAGTGGGCTCGTAATAGCTGCCTCTATCGGTAGTTTTGATAATACTGCTGATATCCTATCCTAAGACTAGGCCTTTAACGTCATTGATACTCCATACTGTATGTTGGATTTAAGTTTTCAGAGTTCATTGTGTCGGTACAGCCCTGCCTTGTGTGTCTCTTCTGGGGCTGGTCTCTGCCTGTCTCTACTCTTCAATCCTTTACTTAGTAAGCATTCCACTCTGGGACGTGACTTCGTGATTCTCTGCCTCCTATTGTGTCTGCCTTGGGCGTTGGCACCTGTATACTTCCAAACCATCTTTATTCTTCTAGTCAAGGGTGGAAAGCCCAGAACAAACTTGGAATCCTGCAAGCCTTCCTAAAGTGAGACTTGGGGGAGGTTTTTCAACATCTTTAAACCACTTGAAGTGGATATGTTCACCTACAGGCTGAATCAACTGCAGAAAGCTTTTTGATTTAGAAATAGTAAGAAAAAAAAAGGAGAGAGACCCTCAAGCTTTACCTTGTAGGAGATGCATGTGCTCTGGAATCAAGTATCCGGCTCTGAGTTCATTGCCTGGCAGTAATTACGGACGGCATTGGGGCTGCTCCTTTAACACTTGTGAGTCTAATCTTGCTCGCACGCTCCTAGCAGGCGGAACCCCCAGCCATCTTGTTTCCACCATTATAGCCCCAGCACGTAGCAAACTGCCCGACGTGAATGAATGAGTGAACAAATTATGAAACAGGTCGAGGAGTCCTACCTAATGCGGTTGTCACAGGGACAAAATGAGATAATGTAGTAAAACTATTATTCCAGTTCCCGTCCCAAGGTGAACATGCAACAGATGCTCATTCGCGTCCTTCCTACTCACTGAGTTGATGCAAACAGATTGTATAACATACCGCATTCTCAAGCCACGCTAACGTATAGGTCTTTTGTATGACTGTATGGGCGTCTTTACAAAACCACGTGAAGCAAAACTTTTCACTGAATTGAAGCATAAGAAAGTTGGTCTACTGGTTATGAGAAATCTGAAGTTTTAGCAGCGAATGCTCAAGAGGAGGGTTAAAGGAAACTTCCCTCTCAACAGTACCCATTTTTGAGACCTTCTAGGAGGGTGTCCGACTCCACAGAGTGACCCTTCTGCCCTTGAACACCTAAGCAGTTCAAGGATCCATCAGACTTACCCCGAATATAAAGCCCAGAGCTCCAGTTGTCAGCTCTGGCAAGATGTCACTTGATTTTAAGAATTTAAGCACATGTGATGAGTGGTTTTTGAAGAGTGTTCTGGTAGGGTGTTAATTGGTATTAAAACAACAAAATTCCAGAGCCAAATGCATCCGGGAAGTCTTGAGCAGACCCAAGTAAACCACATTTTGTTGCCATGAGACCTCGCTGGGTTTTACCGTGGTGATGTGCCCTCTCGCCCAAGAGAGACGACCCATTTAAGTGCCATTGTCGGGGGCCTGGCATGGGGGCGATGTTCAGCAGGAAGGGTAGAGCATCTTGCCCTGACATTGACTGTTTGACAGAAACCCTGTAAGCAGTGTAATTCTAGACACATCCACCTTCTGGAAAACTGGCCCCATGTGGCTGCTAGCAGAGTGTTATAGAGATTAGAGCCGTCGAAGTACAACCAGAAACAGAAGTAACGTGCAGTCCACCCCCTTAAGCGTCATAGAGCACAAAGGCCTTATTTGCCTCAATATGACCAAGGCTTCACATACACCTACAGGCATGTGCACACATGTGTGTATACACACACACACACACACACACACACACACACACACACACAACTGTGAAGGCACAGAATTGCAAAAGTGGCCTAACACTGATGGCCCTGGTGGATTTTGGCATCTCATCTGAAAGGCCAGAAGATGGGCAACAAGGATTTGGGGAATAAAAACCTGACCTAAAATGTTGAATCTGGCAGCTCTCCCCTCGCCCGTCACTCCAATTAAGAATTTGAAATTGTAGCCAATGATAAATATCTTTCCTTCCATCACAAAACTGTGTAGGTGTTAAAGGCTGCAGTAACTCCACAGACTCTTGCCGTCAGTCTTTGCCTCTCAGGCTTAGGGACTTTCAGCCTTTCCGTTCCCACCCCGCAAAGTTCCCACCATCAAGATGGCAGGCATTTTTAACCCTGTCACATGACCGAAGCACATTTTTAGTTACCTGTGGACCATAGGACCAGGAGAAACTTGGGAGAACTCTATTCTGGATGAGCCTGAACAGAAGCGTCTGCCCCTGGACTGGGCAAGTGCTAAGGCGAGAGTCAGAGGCCTTAAGATCCTCTCAGCCCAAGACCTTCTAATTGGGGTTTCGCTTTGAAATTTTTATTTGAGGAGTTCAAATGCCATTAGAGCATTTCTTTTAACTTTTCTGCACCGATGCAAATATGTCGGGCTCTTCAGCCCCTGGCATACTTTAAGGGCTTAGTAAATATTTGCTAAATAATCCTGGGATCTCTCGGAGTTTTGAGGAGTTTTTCTGATTATGGGTCATAAGGAAAGCATTTTTAAGTACAGTTTGACCATCTGTAAAAAATGCCTAGCAACCATCCCTTTATCCATCAGTCTAAATTAGCATGTGTGTTAGTCACAATAATTTGCCCATCTCCCTCGGGCGCAATCTTTAGCCAACAAGATCCCATAACTCTGCTATTTACTGTTTCTTGGTGAAAAGGTGAGGTGGTGAATTTAGACTCTCCACCCTCATTGAAACACTTGAAACTTTTCTTTCCAGGGGCGCCTGGGTGGCTCAGTCGGTTAAGCGTCCGACTTCGGCTCAGGTCATGATCTCGCGGTCCGTGAGTTCGAGCCCCGCGTCGGGCTCTGTGCCAACCGCTCAGAGCCTGGAGCCCGTTTCCGATTCTGTGTCTCCCTCTCTCTCTCTGCCCCTCCCCTGTTCGTGCTCTGTCTCTCTCTGTCTCAAAAATAAATAAACATTAAAAAAAAAATTAAAAAAAAAAAAAACTTTTCTTTCCAGAGTTTATGCCTCTTCAAACTTTCATCTATGGATCCCAGTATCATTCCAGTTATTACATTGTTAATTATCCTGTCTCTTTCCCTCCCCTCCACAGAACTGAAAATGTACCAGAAGTACAAGTACAGAAATTCTATTTCTAAGGATTTTGAGCACATCACAGGTGTAACTATTATTATCTTTTTTAAGGGTTTTTAAATGTTTATTCGTTTTTGAGAGAGAGAGAGAGAGAGAGACAGAGTGTGAGTGGGGGAGGGGCAGGGAGCATAGGAGACACAGAATCCAAAGCAGGCTCCAGGCTCTGAGCTGTCAGCACAGAG